CTGATTTATTCAGCACCCTGGAGGTTTCTTTAGGTCTGAGACTGTGTTCCTTAGTGTATGTGGCTGAGAGAGAAGCAGGACAGCCTGTGATTGAGAGCTGATAACTGGACTCAAGCCCATCCCCACCACTAACTGACAAAGGAACTTGAGCACACAGGCTATGCCATGTCTTTGCACTTGGTATTTCTCATCTATAAAATGACCAGTTCAGAGTACCTAGACTTCTTTGAGCATTAGCTGAGTTAATGTACATAATGAGCTTTGCAGAGTGCCTCCACCTGAGTAAACACAGTACAGGTTGGCTGTCCTCCTCTTGAATCAACAAGCATTTGTGGCTAGAGGCAGAGGTGGGCTGATCTAGGAAGCTGCTCTCCCAAAGCCCTAGGCTTGGCCAAGGCTGGTGGCATGAAGTGAAGGATGGCTGATGAAATCAGACAGCCAAGGACCCTGAGGACACTTTACGAGGACTTTTGATGTGGGAGTTAGAAAGCCCAGAGGCAGTGCCCAAGCAGAGGACTCAGAATGTCGCCTCTCTGCAATCAGGGAGGCTGCCCGCATGTGTCTACTACATCTCCTGACAGAGTACTGACAGGTCTGGTGATGCTCATTCTTCTCTGACCACTCTGCACAAAGTCCCATCATTCCTTGTAAGATGATGCAAACCTTGATTCTATGGAAGATTATCTGTGCTTTAATAGTTTACCCCAATATCACAGTGGCTCTCTGTCTAATGGCACATTGCTGGCTGTTCTTCTGGGCATGTCTGGGTCAACGTGTCTGAGTGTCTCAGTCACAGGCCCAGATCTGAGAATGGAAGGTGAGCACAGCTGTGGGCACAGCACCCAGTCAGTTGTGGAGGGGGACTCTGCAACAGTCTAACTGGCCCCCTGTGAATGCCTCAAAATATGTATTTTTCTAAGTTTAAATGAAAATAAGTCCGTGAGCTTTTGACCATGTTATGACTTTTGCCATGGCCTTCTAGGCATTAGTGTAAGCTACCCACCTGCATCAGATTTTAACTGGTCGTGCAGCAAAGGGTTTCCTCCATAACGGAAACGTGGAAGCTTCATCAGCTGCTGCTTCTCACTGTTTCTCCTTCATTGCTTTATTACCAGTAAAGCTGCAGGAGACAAAACCTTAATTTTTTCTTTGTTCCAAGCCCCCTTTCAGTCAGAAAGCCACACCCATGCTCATTCCCTCTTCTCCAAGGCAGTGGAAATTATGCTGTCAATTTACTTCCTAATTTCCCTTGAATTTACCTCTTCATATATTTCTCAGCTGCCAACTTAATTGGCCTGACTGATTTTTACAGCCACACCTAGTCAGCAATTTTCTTTTTCCGTTTTCATAGTCTAGTGAAAAGTTGTGGTACGGTGTAGTCAAACATACTCTATACAAGCAGGACAGAACAGCCAAAATGTTTTAGAGGTTCCTCAAGAGAAAATGTTTAGCTAAAGGCAATGTTGGCCCTGAGCTGGCCCAGTTTTTAGCCTGTGGCTGTTAGCTTAAATGAGGCTTGTAGGAAGGGTGTTTGTGTACTTTTCTTTAGCTTTCCAGGGATTAAGACACTCTTAGAATAAAACCTCTAGCTTCTGCAGATCTCCCCTCCCCATAGCTGGGGCTGTGTGACAGCCTTTGACCCTTCCCACTCTTCTTCAGCCTGCTGTGGACCCGGAACTAATCCCAGTCTCAGGCAGAGGAACTGAAGCAGCTCTGGAGCTCAGTGTTTCCCTTGGGGTTGATCTGATCCTGAACTTATGTCATGATTCTAAAATTGAAGCTCAATCTTAGTCCTGAGACTCTACCTCATTAGGGGCAATGGACTCCTGTCCTGGCTTCTCCCCTGGTACGAGTCCCCGTGCCCAGCATTTGGGCTCAGCAGGATTCAGGGCCTGCCTACTCTGGCCAGGCCTTTTCTCACATCCAAGGTCCTCTCCCTGCAGTGTGGCCTGGCAGTGAAGGGCCTTGCTGTGTGCAGACTAACTTCCTCCCTGAGTGCTGCCTTCCTTCCTAGTTGCTCAAGGAGACCCTGTTGCTAAGGTCTGTTTTTGGTCTCCCCACACTCATTGGATCCCTGCTGAGCCACCAGTTACCATCTTTTTTATGACATCTTATCTGTGGTCATGCCTGCTGGATTCCACACTCTGTCTATGAAATGGGTCTGCTCAACATCTGTAGCTGACAGTGTCTCTGAAGGCTTGCCATACCCTAGGGAAGGAAGAATACAGGGCTGGGTCTCAACCTTCTCTGACTGCCTTTCTTACTGCAATTCATAAGCCCTGCTATCTTGAGATGGGAGAAGTGGTAGTTTTTATAGTGAAAATGTTAAAGGATTTCATTGCTCTCAAATTTATTTCTACTTTTTCAGATACTCTCTGGTCTCTTAGATATAAGCTTTCTCTAAGATTCCATCAGACTCCTGGCTCCAAAGTTAGGCTCTTTAAGACTAAAGTAGATTCTGTATGGCTATATGGATGGGACTCTATCCTTTCAATAAAAGGCCATTTGTAATGGAACCTTCCATGAGAATTCCTCTGGCTGGTCACATACCAATCTGAATTCCCACGTCTTGTCTCCTTGTCCCCCGAGGCTCTGTGTGCTGACCGATTTCAGTGCCCTGCCAACCTAGAGGTGACACCTGGTTGTGACGTCCAATCCAGCCCCACTTGCACTTTGTAGTCTTGGTTTGGGCCTGCACATGCACCGCCTCTCACATTTCAGCTCTGTACTTCCTGATTCTGTCCTGGCCCTGCCAGCCAATGGAAACTTTAATTCTCTATAACATTGAGTTAAAACACCCTCTCCAAGCTTCTCACATTGCTTGCCTTTCCCATATCAGTCTCCCAAACTTCCAGCATCTACGTGACTATTCCCTTAACTGTAGCTGCAACTTTTGACTTGTCTCCTGAGCTCTAGGATAATCTGAAAGTAATCAGTATATCTGTTGGGTATGCCTTTCTGTAAAACACCAGAAGATGTTGCTATTTACACTTTACATGAACATGAGAATTGAGGTCACACATCATCTGAGCATTGATGGGATGATACATTGAATCTAGGTCATTCCCACATTCATGAGAGTGGAGCGTATCTGTGAAGCACTCTATCTCAGTTGATACTTAACAACAACTCTGTGAAACAGATGTTATACATCCCTGTTGTGGGTATAAGCACCCCCCAAAGATATGTCCACGTCCTAACCCCAGAAACATGTGGATGTGACCTTATAGGGAAATAGAATTTTTGTTGATGTAATTAGTTAAGATGAGGTAATACTGAATTAAGATGGGCCTTAAGCCCACTGACTGGGGCTTTTATAACAAGAGAAGACTGACACACAGAATACAGAGAGGGAAGATGATGCGAGGACACAGAAGGGAAACACCTTGAGGCAGAGTCAAGAGGCGAGAGTGATGCATCTACAAGCTGTGGCCTGCCACAGATTGCTGGGAGCCACGGGAAGCTGCAAGAGGCAAGGAAGACTGCTTCCCTGGAGCCTTTGAGGAAAGCGTAACCTTGCTGACATTTCAGGCTTCTAGCCTACAGAAATGCAGAGAGTAAAGTTTTGTTTTTGTAAGCCACCCAGTTTGTCAAGGCAGTACTAGGAAATTAACGTAATCCTCATTTTACAAATGAAGTAATAAATGTTCCCAAATGCTAATTTACCCAAAAGTAATTTACCCAAAAATAGAGCCTTTAACATGCATTAAGAACCTCCCAGAAGGACACTAAAACTATATGTGATTCTCAGGCTGATTTGAACATGGAACCCTTTATTTTGAAGAGCATGTCATGGAACTCATATTCTGTAGAAGATACTTTAAGAGGTGCTGACTTAAAAGGAAAAAAAAGCTTTTTTTTGACATTATTGATATGCCAGCCATGTTTTCTGAGTTACACCTTCACTTAGGTCTCTGAAGGAAAATTGAAAAACATCCTCGCTGCATCAGAAATACATTTACAAACCATCTCCTTGGGTAAGTTAATTTAATTGATGGTTTACTGTCTCTCTTTTATTCTTTAGATCATTACATGGCTTCTCAGAGTCAGTGTCTTCTAGTCAAAGGCCATTAGGAACATGCATGTAATTGAACAAGGTAGGGTCTATTGACTTGCATCAGAGGAAGAATACATACCATGGGAAACTAGGATATCTCAGAAAGAGGATGTTAGGCATTGTTATAGGATTTGTGCTTGTGTTAGGCAGTTTGGTGGTAAGATTCAAGGAAATAGAACTTTCAGGAACAAAAATGGTTATTCTTATATTCTGAAATAAACAGATTCTGAAAACAGCCAGACTATCACACCCAGACACTGAAAGTCTCCTCACCCCCCACAAACCAGCTATCTTTTTCTAGACATCCAGGATGCTTCCCCCCAACCCTCACCCCCACCCCAGTCATGGGCTGTTCAGTAATATTTATACAAGTGCAGTAAGAAGTGGTTACTCTGGCAAAGACTTCTCTTTGGCTAGCTAAGAAGAAATTAAGGACTATGTGATCATCCATGACACTTGGCCTGATGAATTTACGCCTAGGCTTTGTCAAAGAGAAAGTCAGACACTAGTTAAAGTGGACAGGACAGATTTTACTCAGTAATATACTAATGCAATAGAGAAAAGAATCCAACATGAACGGAACTTCACTTCGATTTTAACAGAGCGGCTGGACGTTTTCAAGGGAAAATGAGGGAATACGGAAGGGTGGTGGACAGGGTTTTAGTAGAGTCAGGGAATGAAAAATTACAAAACATGGGGGTCAGGGGAGGTTGCGGTGTGTGAGACGCATCTGGGTTTGCTAACCTGCACTTGGAGAGGGTAGGCTTATACCCTCGTCCAGAGGCTGGGAGGCAGCAGCCCTATCTTCAGGCGTCAGCTAGAGCAAACAGGAAATTCTTCTGACAGCCTCAAGTCTATGCAAGGAGGGGAGGTTCTGGTTATCTTAGAAGTGTGGTCTTGAAGCTGTTTTAAAAATGTTACAATTTTATCCATGCCTTTATAGTTTGAAGTGGAAGCCTAGCGCTCAGGGGAGCCTGGCTAGAATCTGACCCAGGAGAGAATCTCTGTCAGCTTCCAGAGCAGAAGCTGTGTGATGCGTGTCTTTGGCCAGGGGAGAGGCAAGGTGAGCAGGATCCTTTCCAGCTGCATCACCCCAACTCTGGCGGGGGCTGTTGGCACAGTACGCATGCTAGGGAACCAGTTCTCCCCCAGGGACCCTAAGTCAGCCCGTGCTCCCCTAGGTACCCTTTTCAGGGAACATGGTTCACTGGAGGGGTGGAAGTTTTAAACATCTGAAATTTTCTAACAGTTATCCGAATACACAAGATAAGTTAGTATGTGGTAGGTGAGGGCAAACCTGATGTCCACACGAGAAGAAGTATATTTGTGGGGCAAAGACTGTATTGGTATTGAGAATTTAAGAATCATTATCACAACAGGAACAAGCCTTTTTATTTGAGCATCTACTCAGGAGTCAGTTGAAGTGGATAGATTCCTTCATCAGAGTCAGGCAGGTCCTGAAAAGCCAGCTGGAATGTCTCTGAAGAAAATTTAAATAACTATTTTTTATCCAGATGGGCCCATTCTTTGTTCCCACTCCTCAAGGGCAAGGTTTTGCTGGTATGGTTATAAGGAGTTCAGCATAAGCATTTCATTGATGTGAGGGTCAGTGTACAACTTTTGTGAGACCAAAGCACAGGATTAATTATGCTATGGAAACTTAAATATCAGCAAGAATGTGTAGAAGAGAATTCATTTTTTGAAGTATTGTTTTTAAGTTATTAAATTTGGTCAGCCATCGGTTAAATTCAGAACAGCAGCACCAGAGAATTTTGTTTTTTCTTAAGCAGAAGAAGAACATAAAGAATCACAGGATGAAGATAAAGGAGCTCATTTTAGTTAATCTAGGGGCCAAAAGTGCAATGATGGACAATATGAGTAATTATGGGAAAGATAATAGAATACTAAAGAATCAGAGAATTTTGTTCTGTCGTGTGAAAGCTGTCTGCTTCTGCAGTCAGAAGCTTGTTTTGCTGTTTTTGGCAGAAGCTGTCTACTTCTGTAAATCCATTTCTGAGGAATTTCTAAATATCTTCAGTTTGAAGTCTTTTAAAGGAACAGACTTCCAGTAGTTGAAGGGAAGTTACACATGTCTTTTTAGTTGTAAACATGAGTCCAAGGATTAAAATGTTAGTCTTAATGCTGCGTGAGTTGTTAAAGCACCAGTAAGGTTCTTCCCATCAACAGTCAAGAGAATTTTTTCTCTGATGTCTTTTCCAAAAGACCAAATATTTAGGTTTCCAATCGTACAGAGGCTGCTTCAGAGGACGTTTTGGAAATGCAAGTTTCCTACAGTCATCACGTTAGATTGCAATAAGAGAGGATCGAAGACTGGAAGTAATTCCTAATGCATAAGGCAGTAGGTCCTAGAGAGATCGATCCGATTGCCTGCCGTCAAGGCCAATGCCATAGCTGTTGAGGGTTTTAGAATTCCATTAGTTCTTATTACTTTCCCTGTTGTTTATGGATAAGTATAGTGATGTTTCTAAGTCAAAGATAAAGCTTTACAGTGACTGTATCAGTGAATCGTGTCTCTTTTAGTGGAGAGACAAGTTGGGATTACAAAATTAAGCATTTTTTTCCTACCATTACAGCCAGATCTCTTCAGCAAAGAAAACTTCTTACACTCTCTGAGAATAGTCAATAACCAAAACCCATTCATAGTCCTCTGGAGGTGTTCAAGGGCGCCCTGAGGCTGCCCATGTTCTACCCTCAGTCTCGCTGTTGACGGCATTGGAACATTTATCCCACCAATGTCGGTTTACTATCTGCCAGTTATCTCTGCTATTTTAGGTAATATCATGAAGCAGCCTTGCTAAACTCTACTTTATTATGACTCTCTCTTTAGGTAATAGCAAAGCACCTCAAGTTACTTTAATTTGTAGTCTATTTTATTGGGATTCCTATTACATCAAGAAATCCCTATTTCTAAAGCATTTTGAATTCATGGATGAATCCATAATCATAAACCATGTATCAGTATAAATATTTGTTCTTTTATTTTTTTGTCAGCTGACAAGTCTGGGTAAAGGCAATGGATTTAGCCATCTGAACTTATTTTGTCTGGGGGTAAAGTTTATATTTCAAGTGTAAATTCAAGTCAATGATGGCATGATATTCTTGGCAATTTTCAGTTTTTATTTTTAAGTATGAACCAATCAACAAAATTTAGCCGGGGGTATCCAAGGAAGAATCTAGAAGTCCATGCAACACACGGACACCTCCCTAATGGAGGTAAGGATCATGGGTTTCTTTTTCTACCAGTGAGGGTGATTAGGAAAATATTCAGCACAGCCGTCAAGATCAGCAAACTGCTTTTTTCCTCCGGTTGGCAAAGTCAGCAGAGCACCCCCAGCTCTCCCCTCCCCTCCTCCAGGCCCCTCTTTTGCCCTGCGCATGCCGAAATGCCACATATCAAAATAATATAAATTGCTCCCCTTGCTTGTGCTTAGGGCTCAGACCTTGGCCGATCACTCCCCTCTGAGCCGCCGGTGTGAAATAAAACGTCAACACTCCAAGAACTCCGAGTGCTGCTTAGTTCTTCTGTCAGCGATCCAGTCCAGGTTTTCCAGTATTTTCCGTAACAAGGGAAATACGTTAACTGGATTTCTAGAGTGTTACATAGCAATGTATGGTGATGTTTCATGGGAAACCAAAAAAATTGCATAGGAGGATAGGTGAATAACTGAAAAGTCCCACATTATCACTGTCAATAAAGAGAGAGTGTACAGAAAGGAAACTATTAAGCTTAGTGGAATCCTAGGATTAAGTTGGCTAAATTGAGTTAAGCTTTCTCCAAACCTTGCTGCAGCTGCTGTTTGTTCCCCTTAAACAAGATGGCTATGTTGTGACTACTGAATCTAATGAAAACTGCAGGAAACCATTGGTCTCTGATGATTCCTGTGTCATTGAGTCAGAAGCCCTAGTGCTTGTTCAGGAAAAGAATTTGTGAATCTAGAATCCTGGAAAAAAAGTCTTTTGATGTTTAGTTATAATAGTAATCTCTGTATTTAAACAGGAGCATGCTTGTTTTAACTTCAAAAGTGTGTGATCCTTGAAAGACATTTATATTAGCACATTTTACTTAAATATAATTAACTTGGGAAAATCAACTCTAATTATTAGTTTTTTATTACCAAGTTTGGTAAGCAAAAACACTCTCATAATTTTAAATTAACTAAAATTCAAAATATTTTTAGAAATCTAATTATTCCCATGGTCCTTCCTTTTATAGGATGAAGAAAAAAAATTGTGTTACGTATTAGCCATTCTAGTAAAAACAAAATAGCTTAGACACAAAAGACATATTAATAGCTTCCTTCTGAATTTGTGGCCCCAGTTTGGGAAAGGAAGAATTAAGAATTGAAGAGTCAAGATATAAATTACAAGCATCTACAGTCAAGATATAATTATAAGCAACATTGTAAAAACACTCAGCAATTAACAATAGTTATAGGAACTTAACATTTTTTAAAGTAAGGGATCTTTTAAAGGGATAATTTAAAAGTGTCAGAAGCACTGAAAGTTAATAGAATATTCTATTGACAAAATGAAATCTTTACTAATATGACCATAAAAGAATCTAATGATTTTATATTTTAAAGTCCCAAATTCTAATTTGACTTTTTATACATTACTCATGTAATAATCTGCATAAAGAATTTATTAATATGCCCTTATTTATATACATTAAGGCATTCACAATGTAAATACACAAATAAGTAATAAATTTAAAGTTTTTAAGTATGACTTTAAATCTATGAAATAAAATAATATGTATATCATATTGAATTTACTCTCTGAACAAAGTGTTTCAGCTTTCCTAATAAACAAATTCATACTTATTATCATTGACATATATTTCTATTTCTCCATATTAACCACTTATATTAATTATCATCTTTCACCAAAGTAATCACACTTCCTTTTCTTCAGGCTAAAAACATCAGAGGAGAGAAAATAAAGAATTTTTTAGAAATTTTTCTGTCTACAGCATTTATTTCATACAATTTAAACAATTCTGATGTATAAACATACAGTTTAAAGGAATTTGCATATTTTGTTCATCTATTGCCATTCTAAGAAATAAGGTAAAAATTATATTTAATGACCAATGTTTTGAATCTGTTTCTTATGCAGAAATTGTTTAGGCATCTAAAGACCATTTATTAATTAACCATTTGTCTAAGGTTCAGGAAATTGTAATTTTAGTTAACACAAGTAAATCCTTAAGATTTCTAAAAAAATAAGATTTTAGAAATTTAAACCTTTAAAAAGGCATTCATTATTATCACTTATTGTAGTTAAATATAATTTTATATTGTGAATGTTGAAGTAAAATGAAGCCATTCATGTTAAGGGGTTTTGAAACAGAGCCAGAAGCCATTAGGGGTGTGGGCCTTATGCGTGTCCTCACAGAGTGGAACGTAAACTTTTAAACTGTGCCAGATCACTAATATTCCAAGGACTCTGTGTGGACATCTGCAATTTGCTACAGTAACAGACTTTTGCTTAGTGGTAGCTTGATCAATCAATATTTATCAGCCAAGATTGTCTGCTACCAGCAACAATCAGTATCATTTGTAAACAAATGTAATTCTTTGTAAAGCATTACCTTTTCTTTAAAAAACCCTGACTTTTGTTCCCTAGTGGGACACAATTTGGGTTGTTACCCAAATCTCCTCCCCAAGTTGCAAGTCTGAGATCTCAAATAGATGCTTTTTATTTCAGTGTCTACCTCTTTGTTTGACAATATGTATAATTTTTAATTTTAAGCAAGTTATGGGAATAGTGGAATTTGCTTAACTCATAAAAACCAATGTAGGAAATTCAATTTAATCAAAAGAAATTTAACCCTGGCCTTGTACAAACCAAAATATTGTGCTGACACTACTTTGTATACCAAACTAATTTTTATAAAGACTCTGAATCATGCCAAAAATATTATCTTCTTTTAACTTGAAGAGAATGCCCTTTCTTCTTTTCTCATAATTGTGATAATAAAAGCTATTATTATGTAAATATGCTTTTAGTGTCTACAAAATGATACACATTTTTTTTCTTTATTTCAGACATTTGGACTGTTTATCTGGACTAGCTATTCTTGGAATGTGCACACTTAAAGTGAATGACTCTTGATCAGGTAACCATTAATTTCCTAAAAGACAGAAAAAGAGAGGAAGAAGAATTGAAAAAAAAAAGAAAGGGAGACTGCTCTAGATGAGTATGACATTAACACTGAAAAATGATAATTATGTTCCCTCTAGAAAACGAGAAAAGAAAGGTTATATATAGAAAAACAGATTTTGAAGTATGCACACAAAAAAGAATGACATTAAAATTGGCTTAAGTCCTTTGCAATTTTATCAGTAACTCTGATTTAAAAGCCAGCACTTATTAATCCACAAACTGTAGAAGCAAAGGAGGGTGCCAACTCCAATATTAAACAAAAAAATCTATCTTTTAGATAAATGATCTCCTCTTGAAGGTTTCTTCACTTTTTGTTCTGAAGTGCTTTTCAAGTTAACAGTCTTTAGTATGTCAAAAACTTGCTTTTATATCAAAGGTTCTCCAAAGTGGACATTGCAATTCCAAATTGTCCCTGGTGAAATTGTGCCAGTTGTAGAGAAAAGCACACACATGTGTGATACAGAAATAAAGGCTGAAGAGAACAGATCTTAGCTCTGGAAAAGGTGCAGTTGTAGGTTGAGTGGACCCCACAAGAGCTGTGGTGGTGTAAGGATGGTGCTTGTATGACCTTCTATCTCTGTAATTTGGGCAAAAGTCAATTGTCTCCAATTAGGGATGAAGAAACTAAATAAAGAAGTTCTCAGGGTCTCAAATATAAGATAGAGGAAGTCCTTCCAAGTTTTGAAATGATAATCTGACACAGAGTTCATCCGAAGGACAGTTTTTCTAAAGAATCCCAGTCCCGAACTCCCAGCCCCTGGGCAGCTGGAGGATGGACTGATGGGGCCTTCCTTGGCCTTTCCTCACAGACCTTTCCTTTGATAGGCAAACAACACTCAATAGACAGGCTATAGAATGGGTGTTAGAAGGCTAGAAAACAATTGTCCTGATTCGCCGTATTTTCAAGTCTAATCAGTAACTCATAGTCACAAAAGTTTTATTCGCAGGGAAACAAAATAGACACACTGCTGATGGTTCTCAACGAAATATCAGGGCCCAGCTGAGTGTGAACTGATCTCCAGCCATGGACAGGGATCTCAGATGTGTGCACTATTACTCGGTCAAGGCAGCAAGGACTTCCCATGAATCCCAGAGAAGCTCCAATCCTGTCGATGTGCCCAAACAAAGACCCCCAGAAACACAGCTGTAGTTGAACAAGTCGGCTTTACTGCTAGCTACAGCAAGACTCGTCCTGTCTTCCCTGGGATCGTCTCTCAAAGTGCAGCATGTACAGGCAGGGGATGAACACTGTGTGTGCAGAAAGGGACCTTTCACAATAACAAAAAAGGCCCTAAACAGAAGAACTAAAGAGCAGCTCTTTCTAGCTGGAATTCTGCAGTCATCCTAGGGCATCTTGCTCAAACAATAGCTAGCTTTTTTCTTTTTTAATTAAACTTTTTATTTTGAGATAATTATATATTCTCATGCAATTATAACTCTCATGCAGAAATAATAGGGAAATCTCTTGTACCCTTTCTCCCAATGGTAACATCTCTATAGGCTAATATCACAACCAGGATACTCACATTGGTACAGTTATGATTCAGAGTATTTCTATTGCAAGGATTCCTCAAGCTGCCCTATTAGAGCCAGATCCACTTCCCTGCTAGCCCCACCTTCTTACATCTCTGTAAATCTACATTCTTTATTTCCTTAATTTTGTCATTTCAAAGGTGTTATGTAAATGAAATCATATTATATATAATATTTTGAGACTGGCTTTTTTTTTCATGTAGCATAATTCCTTGGAAAATGATCCAAGTTATTGCATGTATCAATAGTTCACTCCTGTTCATCACTGAACAGTATCCCATGGTATGTATATACCACAGTTTATTTAAATCATTGAAGGATATCTGGCTTGCTGCCAGCTTTCATTTATTACAAATAAAGCTGCTATAAACATTCATGTATGAGTTTTCATGTGAACATAAATTTTCACTTCCCTGGGATAAATGCCCAGGAGTACAATTACTGGATTTTATAGTAGTTACATGCTTAAATTTTTAAGTAACTGCCAAAGTATTTTCCAGAATGACTGTCATTTTGCATACTCACTAGCAGTGTATGAGTTTTAGGAGTTCTCTGTATATTCAAGAAATGAGTCCTTTGTCAGATATGTGGTTTGCAAATATTCTCTCCCAGTCTGTAGCTTGACTTTTATCCTCTAAACAGGGCCTTTGTCAGAGCAAAAGTTTTTTGTCTTGATAAAGTCCAATTTATCAGTTTTCCTTCTATGGATCACGTTTTTGATGTCAAGTCTAAGAACTAACTCTATGTCTAGCCCTAGATCCAAATATTTTTTCCAATTTTTTTCTAAAACTTTTAGTTTTACATTTAACATTTAATTCAGTATCCATTTTAGTTAATTTTTGTATAAAATTTGAAGCTTGCATCAAGGTTCATTCTTTTGACCAGGGATATCCAATTGCTCTAACACCTCCAAAAAAGACTCTTTCTTCTGTTGAATCACTTTTGCACCTTTGTCAAAAATGAGTAGGGCATATTTATATTCCAGTTTGCCAATTTGCTTTTAATTGGTACATTTAGACTATTTACATTTAATGTAATGATTGATTTGTTAGAGATAAGTCTGCCATATTCTGTATTATATATTTTCTTTGTCTTACCTATTGTATATTTTCTTTTTCTTGCCATCCTGTTAGTTATCTGAACACTTTTTAGAATTCCATTTTGATTTATCTAGTGTTTTTGAGTGCTTCTCTTGGTATAGCTTTCTGGTGGCTGCCCTAGATATATATAAATCATTTATCACAGTCTATTGGCATCATCATTTTACCAGTTCAAGTGAAGTGTGGAAACCTTACCTCCTTTATGTCCCTCTACCCCTCTTCATTTATAAAATAATTATCTTTAAAATTTTCTCTATATCCATTTAGAACCACATCAGACAGCGTTATAGTTTTTGTTGCAATCATCAAACACAACTTAGGCTCTAAAAGAAAATAAAAGCCTATTGTGTTCATGAATACTTTTGCTTATTGTGTCCTTTCTTCTTTTCCAGTGTTCCAAGGTTCTTCCTTGTAGGGAGTCTTCTCTGTTACTTTGTCATTCTTTTAGGGTAGATCTGTTGGCAACAAATTCTCTTAGTTTTCCATCATTTGAGAGTGTCTTGATTTTTCCTTTATACTTGAAGGGTGTATATTCATATAGGTCTCTAAGACTGTTAGATCTTTCAGTACTTGAAAAATGTGTCACTTCCTTTTGTCTTCCACACATTCTTATCAGAAATCTGCTGTCTGGTCTATTTAAACTGCAGTGTTGCAGGGCTCACATGTCAACATGGACACTATGCCTGAAGCCCCCAGGTTTGATGCTTCAGCTTCATCCAAATAAATTAAGTTTTAGTCTGCATTTTAAAAATGTATCACAAAATGTAATGGCACGTATAATAAAAACCTGATATTTTTTTTGCTCAGCTTTCAAAGAAAAGCTAGTATTTCTCCCTGTTACATCAAAACCTAGAAAGATGTGAGCAGGAAGTAACTTTATGTCTGTTTCTTTTTAATCTAGTATGGAGAAAAAATTTACATCTTTGTCTCCATCCATCTCCATGCCAGAAATGGAACGCAATGATAACTTCAGCAATCACAATAGCTACAGAAACTGCACAATTGACAACTTCAAAAAGGATTTTTATCCCATTGTGTACTTGACAATATTTGTATGGGGAGTGTTGGGAAATGGCTTTTCCATATATGTGTTCCTGCAGCCTTATAAGAAGTCCACATCTGTGAATGTTTTCATGCTAAACCTGGCCGTTTCAGATCTCTTGTTTGCAATCACACTTCCCTTTAGGGCTGACTATTATATCAGAGACTTCAACTGGGTATTTGGAGACCTGGCCTGCAGGATCATGTCTTATTCCTTGTATGTCAACATGTATAGCAGCATTTATTTCCTGACTGTGCTGAGTGTCATGCGTTTCCTGGCAACTGTTCACCCCTTCCGGCTTTTCCATGTCACCAGCACCAGAAGTGCCTGGATTCTATGTGGGATTATATGGATCTTTATCATGGCTTCCTCATCAGTGCTTCTGCACACTGGCTCTGAGCAGAAGGGCAATGTTACATCGTGCTTAGAGCTGAATCCTGATAAAGCTGCTAAACTGAAGATTATGAACTACATCGCCTTGGTGATGGGTTTCCTGCTGCCATTCTGCATGCTCAACATCTGTTACCTGCTGATCATTCGAGTCCTGTTAAAGGTGGAGATCCCAGAATCCGGGCTGCGTGTTGCTCACAGGAAGGCACTGGTCACCATCATCCTTGCCTTGATCATCTTCCTCCTATGTTTCCTGCCCTACCACATACTGAGAACCCTCCACCTGATCATGTGGAAAGTGAGTCTATGCAAAGAAAAACTGCATAAAGCCCTGGTTGTCACACTGGCCTTGGCATCAGCCAATAGCTGCCTCAACCCTTTGCTCTATTACTTCACTGGGGAGAATTTCAAGGACAGACTAAGGACTGCACTCAACAAATGTCATCCACAGAAGACAAAGTGCAACTTTCCTGTCTTTGTGTGGTTGAAAAAAGAAGCACAAGTTTAAGTAGTTACTAGGTGAAGCCTATTCTTGTATCTCTGTTCCACTTTCATTCACACATAGTCTCCAAATGACCAAGCTCTTTCCAACAAAGTTTGATTCCCAACATCTAATTGACCATGACTTTTTAAATAAGACCTACTTCAAAAATTTCATGAGATGTATTTTCAGTGGTTGAGTCTAAGTGAGAATGTAGCAGGAAAAACCCCTACTACAGTCTAGCAACTTGAAATGTCAGACTGGGGAAAAATGCTGAGCACAGTGCTAAGCTTTTCATCAAATCTCTAGCCCACCAGGAATTCTACATTTTTTAACTTTAAGATAACCATAACTTGCCTAGCTTCTCTGGTTCCTCCGGCCCCTTCAACCCCCTGATTTGTTAGCCAATTAACAAAGCTCCTGGAGGATCCAGAGAAGGTAAGAAGGGCATCCTAGGAATTCATGGCAAAGAATGGCCATGAAGAGGAAGGCTGCCCTCTCACAAAGTAGAGCCAAGGCCCCAGAGAAAAACAGTGAAAGGAGAAGGACTGGGACAAGAGAGAGCTGGTGAGAAGTAGTGGAGTGGGGGAGGAATTTAATTTTGCACTGAAAGAGGGTCTCTAGCACAGTGAAGGCAAGAAGATTTGCTTCTCTCTTTTTACTGGGTTAGGAAGGGCAGAAAGACTAGGAGGACGACCTGGGATGTTGCCCTAAGAGTTTATATATGGAATTATGAACGCAATAGTGGAGAAGGGGGTATCAATTTTACTCTTGAGATTTAGGTTTGGCTGACTTCACTGCAATTTTTATTTCTGTACATGAATCCACTGGGTTGAGAGACAGAATAGAGGAGAGGGCTCTCTGAGTTTGATTGGACACTCAGAGAAAGGGTGGAGTGAAGGGCAAGTGGTTTTACCCCTGAAATTTTATTAATGTTTTATCAGAACAAGTGTAGGGTGACTTTCCTTTTGAGAGTATAGAAAAGCACTGGATAGTTAAGAGGGGTTCCTTTCTGTCTACTGAAACAAGACAGAGATGACCATTTACTACCACCATGACACCATACTGCCAATAAATAAGTGCCCTCTCCATGCTGCACAGATTATGCCAGGCACTTCACATCTATTAATCCCATTTAACTCTCACACCAAAGCCCATTTCCATTTTATAGATGAAAAAATATGAAGCTCAGAGAAATTAAGAAATTTGAAGTTCACACACTCATAAGAGTTTTTGAAACTTCTATGCAGAAGGGCTGGCTGGGTGCTTCTACCACTCTTCCCCCTGAAAACCTCCAAAATGATTGGTTCAAAGTCTGAATAAGAATTTCCTTCCCCTATCAGGCCCCTACCCCTCTACACTTTTGAGAGAAAACTGAACAACTGAACACCGAGGTTTTCTCTTTGAAATTGTTACCCCAGGCAGAATGAATGGTGGAAGGGAGGTGGTTTTGTGAAGCTAGGGAGTGACTGAATGAAAGACTTCATAGCCTTATAGTCATTTCCTTACTCAGCTGCCAGAATGCTGATAGACTCACCCTATCAAGACAGGAGCCTAGAGAATGCTCCTATGGGAAAGTTGCAGAAGAAGAGAGACTGTTGGGGATTCCCCAACACGAAAGCCAGTGCCTGTCCTATTACCTGACAGAGAAGTCCCCCCTGTAACTGATCCCTTCCACTCACAGAGAGCCTAATGAGCCTGTTAGAGCCTCACTCTCATTGTGAACAGTCAGTTATTGCTACACATGGGAGAAAAAAGCCCAAAGACAAAAACATCAATAACTAAGTGAAAGGGTAGACAGAGACATCTTCATATGAAATACCACATTTTTATCATCCTTGTACTTTTTAAATATCAGAAACCTACTGGAGGATGTGCTCCTCTAAACAAGAGATTAAACTAAGATAAAAAAAACATGCTATCTAGGAAACAAGGAATTCAACACAGGAGGAAGGTGAAGAGAATTCCCAGGATGCTGGTTATAGCAGAAAAACAAGAAACTGATTTATACACACACACATTGGAGGGATTTATATTGTTCTTGGAGAGCTTGAGATACAGAGTGAAAATACATAGAAAAAACAAGCAAGTGAAAAGACAATAAGACAATGCAATTACTCAATGCCTTAGGGAAAAGACAATGCAAGTGAAAAGACAATAAGACAATGCAATTACTCAATGCCATAGGGAAAAGAAACCATTAAGAAATGAAATAAAGCCATAGTACACTACATGGCTCAGTTGTGAATAATATTTACAGAGATTGATGCAAATAGCAAAATACTGTGATAAAACTTGTTTTCAGGAAGTGAGGGGAGAGGATGTATATGTGCTGAAGAGGGGTGTGTGGATAAAATTGCAATATTTCCATAATCTCTCACCTGGCTTTAGTTCATCTCCATATCAATAGGTTTTTCTAAGGGGTGGACAGAAGTAGCCATCTCCATATTAATAGGTAATTACATGGATAAGCAAGGGCTTATCTGGACCAGAGAGACTGGGTGGAGCTCTCTCTTCTGCAGCCAGGTCTGGAGAGACATGGGATGACTGCTTCTAAGATATAAACTGGTTTTTCCCACTTTATTTCTCCCTTTGATTTCAGTGTCAAAGGTATTTTGCCCTGGGATTTTTCTCCCCAAAGTTACATCTGGTGGTAGTTGGCAGGACCTCTGAACCTGAAAACTGTCTATATGTGTGCAACCCTTAGGTGAGCTGCCGCTAGAGATGGTAGGGAGATACCTAAAAATCCCCCTGTGGATGGTGGGGAGACCCCAGTGGCTGAAGCAGTAGAGGGTGCTCTTTTACTTGGGAGGTGCCTATCTGAGGGGCCTCTAGTGGGGAATTAGTCTAAGGTAAATCACCTCCTAGAGGGGTGGGGCCTTTCACAGAAGTGGGGAAGGATGGAGACACTGGAAGCTGTGGAATTAGCCCTCTGGGAAATAGAAGACTGCTTAGAGGTTCTGAGTTACCATGTAGCAGCTGGGATTGTAGGATCTCTTTTCCTCAAGATAGTGGAAAGTGTTATCGAGGAGAAGGTTGTTGAGGGAAGAGAGAGACTTCGGCAGGAGAGAGACACACTTCAGCATTGCTCAGAGGAGCTGGGCGATAACCTATGGGACACCTTTAAGAAAGAGAGACAGTTACTGAGAAGACAGGCTGTGGTCCTGGAAAATTCCTTAGCAGCAGCAAGGGAGGAGGCAGGCAGAGAAGTCACATTACAGGACTCCTTGGAGGAGGAGGAAGAAAGAGAGGTAGGTACCTTCAGCCCCAGAGACAGTAGAGGAGATGTCAGGAAAGGATGAGGGGGTGGAGGCTGAGGGCTGATCTGTTGCTGAGGCCACTGCCCAAGGCAACAGCCTCTCCCATATTAAAGACCTGCCCAATTGTAATTAAGAAAATAAAAATGCAACAATAGTGGGCTCTTCAGGGGGAGGAGCTGCCCCCTCACCAGGTTGTGGAGCACTCCATGCTCCACCCCTAAACCCAGGATGAGTCGGTGAACATGAGCCAGTTTGGGCAGAGGCCATTGGAACCTCTGCCTAAATGGCTTATGCACCTCTGGGTTATGAGTGTGGAAAACATTGCTACATCGGGTTCTGAAATGGGTAGACTAGCTTCCCTGATGACTCACCCTTCCCTCCAGCAGCAGTTATAATGTGCCCATCATACCTCAGGGAATTGGGTGCTTCTAGATCAGCTGACAGCAGCCATCAGGGCAGTTTAGCCTAATCAGGGTGATTTACCATACTTACCCACTAGCTGAAAAATGTATGCAGAGCTCCAGTAGGTGTTACAGGAGTTGGGCATTAAAAATATCCTCATCTATAATATGGACCTCTAGGGCCCCAATGAAGAGTTGTTCATGGTAGGAATGAGAAATCTGCTGTTCCATACAGCGGCCCCATCTCTCTTTTGGTCCCAAGTGACTATTGTTGCCCCCACATAGGACAACCCATAAGTGAGGCTACTCGTACTTTAGCAGATCTGGGAGAGGTTGGAACAATAAGAGCACAGAAGGAAGTACAGGCTATGACTGAAAGGAGAGGTGCAAAGGGCCCCATGAAAGTCTCAAGGATCCAGACGTGGGTTGATTTGATAAAGGCCAGGGTAGTGAAAGAAAAACTTGATGGGCTGCCCAATAGGATCTTGTTAGAACTGTGGCACCAATTAAAGCCAGAGCAGCAGTTCCAGCCGCTGAGTTCCAGGACATGGAAACTGGAGTCAAAGCCCCATGTCCATCCTCTGTTCCTGAAGAACTTCCTGGGGGACTGTACTCAGGCTCTGCCTGGGCTCTAATCCCCAGAGGATGATGATTGGGCATCACAGTTTGATGGTGGTTGGGGCTCAAGGCCCCCACCTTGGGATATGTGGTAGGGACTAGAGGCCACATGTAAAATTAGCAATTCATTGGTCCCCTGTGAATGTACAGCATGTCCTGGCACTGGTGGACACAGGAGCTGAGTGTTCTCTGATTCATGGCAACCCTGAGCGTTTTCCCAGGACCCCTGCTGTGATAGATGGCTATGGGGGTAAGGCAGTTAGAGGGAAGAAAGCCCAAATCCCATTGGGGATAGGTCGTACATTTCTCCCATCCCTGAATATATTTTGGGGGTAGATATTCTGCAGGGCCTGTGGTTGGTTACAGACCATTGCAGGTGAGTTCAGACTGAGGGGACATGTGGTAAAGGCAGATCTGAGGGGACATGCTAAGCACCCACCTGTAGCTCTGTCTGTACCTTGGAAAGTGACAAATCCTAACCAGTATAAACTGCCTGTGGGGCACAAGGAAATTGGAGCAATTCTACAGGAGTTGGAGAAGGTGGGCATCATAAAGCCCTATGAGTGGGCTCTATGTGCTTTTAATTCCCCACTGTGGCTAGTGAAAAAATCAGATGGCCCCTAGCATATGACCACGAACTACAGGGAATTGAATAAAATCACACTCCCTTTGCATGCTGCTGTCCCCTCTATAGCAGTCATTATGGACACACTCAGTTATGAACTAGGGATGTATCATTATGTTGTAGACCTTGCTAATGCTTTCTTCTCTATTGACAGAGCACAGGAAAGTCAGGAAAAGTTTGCTTTCATGTGGGAGGCTGGCAATGGACATTCATTGTCCTTCCGCAGGGATATCTCCACAGTCCATTTGTATGGACTTGTAGCCCAGGACTTGGCCACATGGAAGAAACCACAAAGGTTGTGGCTGTATCACTACATTGAGGACATTATGCTCACGCCTGATATTCTTGCAGATTTAGAAGGGACAGTTTCAAGACTGCTGCAACATCTAAAGGAGAAAGGATGGGTTGTGAACAGCAGCAAGGTTCAGGGACCTGGTTTGTCTGTAAAGTTCTTGGGGGTTGTCTGGTTAGATAAAACTAAAGTTATTCTGAAGCAGTCATAGACAAGGTTCAGGATTTCCCTACCCCTACCACTGTGGCAGTATTACAAGTGTTTTTGGGTCTTGGGCTACTGGAGAGTGTTTATCCCACACTTGGCACAAATTCTGAAGCCCTTATACTGGTTGGTATGAAAGGTCATCAGGTGGGACTGGGATGAGACATGTGCAGCTGCTTTTACTGCTGCTAAGCGAGCAGTCAAGGCTGTACAGGCCCTGAGTGTAATGGATTCATCAGGGCCCTGTGAGATAGATGTTATGGTTATGGGTGGGGTCTTTGGCAGAGGCTTGAATAGACATGTGAAACTATTGGATTATGGTCACAACTATGGAAAGTAGCAGAGGTCTGGTACACCTTGATAAAGAAGCAACTGGCTGCTGCGTACCACGCCTTGCTGGTTACAGAGCCCATCACTGGAACAGCTTTGACCAAGGTAATAACCACCTATCCCATCATGGGTGGGTGTGAGACTGGACCCAAAGACCATGGGGTGGTGTAGTACAGATGCCTACACTGGCCAGATGGGATGCCTACTTACAGCAGCATAGCACCCTCTCTACTAGTCCCTCAAGTGGACAACTACAATACTTATTGGGGCCAGTGACATATACCAGTAGAAAGCAAGAACTTGCTTCTGAGCCTGTAGTAGCCAAAAGTCCATATCAGGAGGGAAAAGGCCCTATACCTAAAGATGCTTGGTATACAGCTCCAGTTGTGAACAGCCCCCAAAGTGTAGGGCTGTGGATTTCCATCCTAAGACTGGGACAACATGAATGGAGGACAGAGAGTCAATGGGGAAGATCAGGCCATGGGCTGAGTTGCAGGCAGTATGTCTGGTAATCATCCAAGAGCCATCCCCCATAGTTGTCTGCACTGCCGGCTGGGCTGTCTATCAGGGTGTCTCCCTGTGGCTACTGACATGGTACCATGCCAACTGGATGGTTGGTCACCAGCCCCTTTGGGGGCAAGAGCTGTGGCAAAACCTATGGGCCTCTGGTCAGACTAAGACTGTCACCATATATCATGTGACTGGCCATTTGCCTTTGGCCTCCCTAGGGAATGATGAAGCAGATACGTTGGGTCAGGTGTGTTGGCTAGAAGGAAAGCCTGCCTCTGATGTGGCCCAATAGTTACATCAGGATTTGTTGCATGTGGAACAAAAGACAATGTAGGCTGTAGCCAGTCAGTGAGGCTTGCTGTTGAACTTTGAAAAAATCAGCAGAGCCCAAAAGGAGTGCCTTGTGTGATCTAAGACTTACACTGAGTCCTGCAGCAACATGGGACAATAGTAAAGGAGCCATTACCCCTTGTCAGGTGGCAGATAGACTACATCAAGCCTATGCCCATATCAGAAGGATACCATATCGGTATGCCATGACTTGTGTGGACACAGCTACTGGACTGTTGGTTGCTTTTCCTGCATGTCATGCAGATCAGCAAACCACCAAGAGGGGCTTGAAGCATCTCTTTGCAGCCTATGGTGCAGCCTGCAGGTGATCGAGAGCGATCAAGGCACTCACTTTACTGGACATGTGTTACAAGAATGGGTGCAGCAATTAAGAATAAAGTAGAAGCTTCATGTACCATATATCCCTACTAGGACAGGCATGATAGAGAGGTACAATGGTTTGTTGAAATCTGACCTGAAGTCAGACACCAATTGTTGTCTGTGGGCTGGTCAGTTCATTTATAGATAGTGCTGCGGCGTTTGAATGAGAAGCCCCAAAGAGGAGCCTTAAGCCCTGTGGATATGCTAACACACATTGCTGCCTCTCCTATACATCTGTATGTGCAAATCAAAGAGGAGTTATTGAAGCCAGGATATGGCCAGCAGAGCAACATCCTACTGCCAGCCCTGGAGACACTGTCAAGTGGATGTGGCTCTGGAGATTTGAACACATGGACCAGTGATGGCTAGCTCTCCTGGCACCTTGGGGGAAAGGCCTAGAAGCTGGCCTCCTGTATATTCCTGGAATAACAGCAAAGTGGCCCCCAAAGATCACAGTGGTGTACCCAAAACATCCAGGAGGTAAGAGCGTCTTGTGGGGAAGTTTTGTTTTATCTTTATGGTGAGTGCATGTACCTCCTGTAGCCCTATATATTGACCCATTTGTAACTCCCACAGGGAGTGGGGTGAACATCTGGTTGGTACACTAGACCAGGACGAGATCCCATTTCTGCCACTGTTCTATCACAGGACCACTGTCTTGTATGTATCCTACCTGATGGATAAGATTTGCCTATGCTGGTATCATTAAAACATGTATTTTATCATTCTTAAGGTTATTTTCTTCTACAGTCCCTGTGGCCTGGATGTGCCGCCTGGTGGCAGCCTCCATGTGATGATTGCTCTGAACTCCTTACCTGTTCAGTGCTGACTATGGAATGGGCAAGCTGTGGACTAAATTTGCATAGAACTTTAAACTTAGCTGAATCCTCCAGGTTGAGGAGCATCATTATTTTATTGCTGTTGCTACTGTATGTTATTAGTCTGATTACAATGCTCCAGTTTTCTTACACAGGGGCCATTACGGAAGATGGGGAACATGTAGATTGTGAGGAGAGAGTTCTGGAGGGTTGGGCTGTGGGTAAAATTGCAGTATTTCCAGAATCTCTTGCCTGGCTTTAGTGCATCTCCATATCAATAGGTGTTTCCAAGGGGTGGAGAGAAGTAGTCCATCTCCAGATCAGTATGTAATTATATGGGCGAGTGAGGGCTTATCTGGACCAGAGAGACTGGGTGGAGCTCTCTCTTCTTCTGCAGCCAAGTCTGGAAAGACGCGGGATGACTGCTTCTAAGAAATAAATGGGTTTCTCCCACTTTATTTCTCCCCTTAATGATTTCTGTTTCAAAGTTATTTTGTCCTGGGATTTTCCCCCCAGAATTACAGGGTGTAAGAAACTAAGTCCTCATCTTTCACTACAGAAAATGCATAGTAACTAAAGCTAGAGAACAATTAATAGCTGTGTAAAAGTGCTATTTAACAACAGGAGCAAAGCCCAGAAGAAAATGTGAAAAGAATTGATGGGGATTGCTCTGGAGATAAGTTGAGGGTGGTAGGATAGGTGGGAATTTGTTTTTCTTTTAAAAACCATTTAACTGTCTAACTTGTGAATATGTGTTGCTGAAATAAAATTAAAATTAAGATAAAATTAAATTTTAAAATTCAAATTAATTCTGTGTTTTTTTTAAAAAAAGAAGAGAAGAAAGGCCACCAGAAATGGAAATTGAGTGCAGACAGGAGAAAGGAAAGCAGGAAAAGACTTGGGCCTCTGATGGAAGCCCACCCAACCCTACCAAGGGAAGGAGTCCCATCTTGGAGTGAGGGGAGTCAGTTCCTGGGGTCCAAGTGGCTTCGACAATCATCATCTCATAAAACCGAAACAGAAAGGGAAGTTGAACTTCAGGATTCAACTAGGGTTTCTGTGGGCCTTCTCTTCAGGTACTGGCTGGGTTCCATGTCCAAATCCCCTCAAGAGAACAAGTTGACTTTGGGAAGCCTGAGGCTACACGCTTCCTACTTGTACCCAGAAGAAGCAGGGTAGCTCCTGCCTAGGTCATCTAGCAGAAGTCATGGTTTCCCTTTGATCAGATCCACTCAGATTATACACCAGCTCCTAAACTAAACTGAAGAAGAAGGGGTTGCTCTGACCAACTGAGGAAGATCTGTCTACACCTGGAGTGGGGACTGGGCTTAAACCTACTGAGATATCCTGGAAGAGGGATGAAAATGGGCTTACAGATGCCACATATACTGCATTGCAGGTGAGGTGGAAAGAGAACATCAACGTGGGGCATGGCCTGTGTTGAAATGGCACCCCAGCAGCTGAGGAGGGTGGAAAAAAGGGTGTGCTAGAGGAAGAAAGGCAAAACCTAAAATAGGAGTTTATATTGCAAAGTTGTAGGGATTTTCAAATGGTAATTAGAAATCTCAACAAGTTCCCAAAGGTAAGATAGCCCATGAAAAGCATAGAGATCAACCACATCCTTAGGAAGAGACCAGTAAAAGAGGGTTGTGAGTTACTAGTGTGTGTAAGTCTACAGTGTGTGTGTGTGTGTGTGAGAGAGAGAGAAAAACAGAAGTTGGGGGGTGGGGAGCTTAATGACTTATTTCCCTTTTGTCCAACCAGAGTGAAGCATCTCAGTTTGCAAAGAATGTCATCCTTGAGGAAGAAATCAAAACAGAACTCTTTATTTACCAGAATGAACAACAAGAGTGTGCCTGAGGTTTACGTACAGTTTTGCATCTGAGAGATTTGGTATCCCCTTGAGCAACTGCAGAAACTGTTCAACTGGGAGAAAGGATTTTTGTTGTGTAAACTTTGGCAGAATTATGATACTGGAACTGTGGTTTTTCAGTGGGGACATAAGAAGCAAATACCATTACATAATATTTAGCTACCAATTCTCTGTTTTATACTTAATTAAATGATTTGTAATTTATTCTATAGTAGAGTTGATGCCAAAACTCAAGTTAAGGAAAAACAAACTGTTGTGTAACTCAAATTGGAGAACCCTTATTTGACCAAGACTGAATTTCCCTCCGATTAGCCTTGTGGGATGGGTGCTTAAAGTCTGATATGAATTGATTTTCTTAAAATTAAGCATGATGCTTTCCTTATTCACAAGAGCTTTCATACAAATGTATGAATTAAAGAAGAATGAAGTTTTTTTTATCTCTGTTCTTACCCTCTAGCCTAAGAAGTCAAATGTTAGTAGTGCCTCCATGCTCATTTATGTATCCCTGATCCTAGGGGTAACCATTATTCTGAATTTTGTATTAATGACTCTTTTACCACAAAAATTTATCTCCAAGCAAAATATGACTTAGTTTTGCATGTTTTTGCACTTTCTAGAAATGGAGTAATATAGTAACTATTTCCATTCAGCTTTATCTTTCTGGGGTTCAATCATGATATTGCTGCTGGTGTGAGTGTGACACAATTTAATTTTCAATACTTCTAGTAATGGAGACTTAGGTTATTGTGTGACTTTAGCTATTAGGAGCAACGGTTCTATGAATACTCTCATACATGTCTTTCAGTGCTCACATGTAGAAGCTGCTCCACATTATACACTTAGGAATGTGTTCATGATCAACATTTCTAGGTAATTCTCAATTCTTTTCCACACTGATTTTATGAATCCATAGCCCTGATAGCAGTGTATGAGAACTCCCATGAATTTACCTCCTTAGAAGCATTTGTGATGGTCAAACTTTTAATCTGCTGAAATATGCTAGGTTTTAAGTAACTTTTACTGTGGTTTTTCATATTTCACTATGATTTTCATAGATTATTTAAGCTTAGTAAGTTAACTACCAATAAATTCTTACAAAAAATAAATTCTAAAAGTTGCACTGTTGTTAAAAAAAAAAGGGCAAGTCTAAACGCAGGAAGGAATAGTGAACAAAGATATAGATAACTATGTAAGTAAAAAATTCTAGGTTGATAGCTAGATTAGCTATCTTCTGCTCTGTCTTGTTGATGAGGAATCAGCTGTCCAATTCCTTTAACAATAACAGCTAGTATATATCCATGCTACACACTCCTTCCAGAAAATGTATGTGCATTTTCTTTTTTTTTTCTTTTTGGTAGGCTAGAAACAAAATTTTATTTTGTCGCCTTTGCGTTTGGCCACTTTGGCCCAGTCTAGTTGTCTGCCTGAAAACAGTTTATTAGAATTTTTGAAAAACAATTTTTTATTAACGTATTATTGATATACACTCTTATGAAGGTTTCACATGAAAAACATTGTGGTTACTACATTCACCCATATTATCAAGTCCCCCCATACCTGATTACAGTCACTGTCCATCAGCCTAGTAAGATGCCAGAGTCACTACTTGTCTTCTCTGTGCTAGTGTCTTCCCCGTGAACGGCCCCAACACCATGTGTGCCAATCATAATGCCCCTTAATCCCCTTCCCCCTCTCTTACCACCCACCTTCCTGCACCCTCCCCTTTGGTAACTGCTAGTCCCTTCTTGGAGTCTGTGAGTCTGCTACTGTTTTGTTCCTAGTTTTGCTTCGTTGTTATACTCCACAACTGAGGGAAATCATTTGGTACTTGTCTTTCTCCACCTGGCTTATTTCACTGAGCAAAGTACCCTCCACCTCCATCCATATTGTTGCAAATGATAGGACTTTTTTCCTTCTTATGGCTGAATAATATTCCATTGTGTATATGTACCACATCTTCTTTATCCATTCATCTACTGATGGACACTTAGATTGCTTCCATATATTGGCTGTTGTAAATAGTGCTGCAATAAATATAGGTGTACATAAGTCTTTTTGAATCTGGAATCTTGTTTTCTTTGGGTAAATTCCTAGGAGTGGAATTCCTGGGTCAAATGGTATTTCTATTTTCAGTTTTTTTTAGGAACCTCCATGTTTCTTTCCACAATTTACATTCCCACCAGCAGTATAGGAGGGTTCCCCTTTCTCCACATCCTTGCCAACATTTGTTGTTGCTTGTCTTTTGGATGCTGGCCATTCCAACTGTGTGAGGTGATATCTCATTGTGGTTTTAATTTGCATTTCCCTGATTATTAGTGATGTAGAGCATCTTTTCATGTGTCTGTTGGCCATCTGAATTTCTTCTTTGGAGAACTGTCTCTTCATATCCTCTGCCCATTTTTTTTAATTTTGGTATCACTAATCTACAATTACATGAAGAACATGTTTACTAGGCTCCCCCCTTCACCAAGTCCCCCCCACCACATACCCCTTCACAGTCACTGTTCATCAGTGTAGTAAGATGCTGTAAAATCACTACTTGTCTTCTCTGTGTTGTATAGCCCTCCCCGTGCCCCCCCCACACTATACATGCTAATCATAATGCCCCCTTTCTTTTTCCCC